AGCTCCGGAGGGACACAGGCCGCCGGCAGCACCGAGACCAGACACGCGTGCTCGCCCTCGCCGGCGTCCACGGGGAGGCGGCACAGGGCCAGGGCAAGCCGGCCGGGCTCTCGGGCACTGAGCGCTGGCTCGGCCCGGCTCCTCCGGCCGCACAAAACCCAGGCGGCCCGTCTGACCTAAAGGGGAGGCCGCACAGGCCAGAGGGGACAGAGCTGGGGGGTGGGCGCTGCGCGCGGGAGCGGCCCTGCGGGCCCAGAGCACGGCCCTCCCGGGGCAGGGAGCCAAGGCCGAGCAGACTCCAACAGACTCCACGGGGTGTTTGGCAGAAACACACGGACACAAAAGGGGGCCGACGGCCTCAGGACGCGGCACGGACAGACCGCCCAGGGGCGCCCGAGGAACGGGCCAGGAGCGGCGCAGGCGTGCGTGGCAGAGCGGGACGGAAGCCCCGGCCCAAGGCAGAGCAGGCCACGTGTGGCCGCACGAACGAGGGCTGAGCCCAGAGGGCGGGGGCCGGCGCGGCCACGCCAGCCCCTCTGGGGCCGCAGGGGCGAGCAGCAGGCCGCAGGGGCAGGGCCTGTCGGCTCTGGGCACACCTCGCCAGCGCTGCCTGCCGAGGCCAATCGGCAGCTCCCACCAGGGTCTTCGACCTCGCGCCACTGACGTTCTGGGCTGGGAAACTTGATTGTGGGGTGCACGGTGCATTGCAGGGTGCTCAGCAGCACCCTGGCACCCCCACACTGATTGCTCGTACCCCAGTTTTGACAACCACAAATTCCTGCGCTGTCTGGGGGATCCGCTGTAGCCCCCCACCAAGAACTGATGCTTTCAACGGCTTTGTGGACAATTAACAAGAGACTGGAAACGATTCCAGCTATAAAAATACACCCAGAGAAGTCAGACAGAAAGCCAACGACTTCAGCTGCAGCGTTTCCGTACCAGGAAGCAACATCCGTCCCCTCAACTAAACAGAGCGAAACCCCAGCAGATGCTACCAGCCGAACCTCTGGCTACACCCCGAAAACCCCCTAAAGGCAACAACTCCCTGGGGGGTCTACTGAAGGACGGAAGCGCAGCCCACCGTAAGCGAGAGGGCGGGCGACGCCCAGAGGAATCACAGATTCGCTAAGAAAACACCGACGGGCCCTGCTGGCGCGACAGGCCACAGCGCAGCACGGGGACGCTGGCCGGGGCCAGCGCCGCGCGGGTTCCACCCCCGGCCAGGGAGCGGCCCTCCGGCCGCAGCAGGCCCCACGACTGGCCTACCGCTGCCCTCGGCAGTGGACCTCGGGATCCGCCTGTTCTGCTCGCCCCTCTGAGTCCTCTCGCCCCCCGCCTCTGGCCTGTGCCGTGGATGAACGTCCTGTGTGCACGGGTAAGTACATCTCTTTTTAAAAACACAGAAAATACAAATGACCACCATGGCCTCAGAGGGACACTGGCCACGACTTGCAGCGTGTCCCGGCAACCTATTGGGCACGGACGGCTCTGGGACTCTCGCGGGAACCCGGCGAGGCGGCGGGCTCCTGCCGGGCCTGGCATCGGGGGTGGGGACCACACAAGACACCCGGCCCTCCAAGGTGACCGGAGGCAGGGCCCTGCAGGGGCAGCGGGCCGAGCCCGGCTCCCCCGCCTGCTTGTAAATAGTCGCTGTGGGGAACGGCCAGGCGGTCAGCCACACGTGGCCCTGGCCGCATCCGAGCCGCGGCGCTGGCTCGCCTTCAAGCCCGGGACGCTGGCCATCTGGCCCTGTCGGGAAAGGTCGCGACCCTGTTTGCGCAGCCCGAGACGGTGAACACTCCAGCGCCAGAAAGGAGACTCAGAGCCGGCAGCCACGGGAGCCGGTCTGGGGCCGCCGCTCGGGCGTGAGCCGAGGACCCGGGCGCCCACCCGAGAGCCCCCAGGCGCGAGAATGGGGCAGCCCAGGAGGTGGGTGGGCGCAGGGGTGCCCAGCCGCGCCCACAACGGGCAGCGCCTGGGGGGCCGGGATCTTGTGGCGTAGCCGCCAGGCAGCTGTGCCCACGCCCCATGTCCACGGAGCACGCGGCCTCCGCGCTGGCCACCCACTCTCTTCCCAGGGTGGCCGACAGCCCGAGGCCAGAATGTCCCCCAAAGGGCAGACCAGCAACCCGAACCGCCTGCCCGGGCGCGACCGGGACGAGGACGCGAGCCCCAGGGCTCTGCTGTGATGCCGCTTCTGTAAGGCGGGAGGGCCTGGACCCCGCAGGGTGGGCGCCTCTGGAGGGCGGGCCACGACCACGCTGAGGTGACCAGGCAGCCGCGTGGGGCCAACCGAGGGCCGCCAGCTGCGGCCAGGCCTGGCAGGAGCGACCGGCCTCGTTTCTCTGATGCCCGCCCGGGCCACACCCGTGCAGGTCTGCTGTGTGGCCATGTCCTCGCAGGGGGCCCAGAGGGAGGGGACCAGCGCGGGGCCCCTCACCGGGCCTCAGGCCTTGCCCGCCCGCCTGCCCGGCAGGGCCTGTGGGACACTCACTCACGATCTGTCCTGCCGGCAGCACCTGCTCGCCGGTGTCGTCTGGGAAGAGGGAGGACACCGCTGGGGGGAACAGGGGTCAGTCAGGGGCTCTGCTAGGCACCCCGCTCTGGCCAGCCCGCCCCGCCCCGCCCCGCCCGGCCGGGGCTCACGCAGGCAGTGGGGGAAGCCCCCAAAGCCCTCGGCGCACGCGTCGCACCGCTCCCCAGTGAAGCTGGGGCGGCAGTAGCAGCGTCCGGTCAGGTCCTCACACGTCCCGTCCGTGAAGTTGGACTCGCAGTTGCAACCTGGGCAGAGGGGCGGGCGCTCAGGGCACTCCAAGCCGGGGCCACCAGGCCCCGGGGGACGGGGCGGAGCCAGGCCACCGGCGCAGGGAGGGCCCGGGACCCCTGGGGCGGCCCCACTCACGGCGGCAGGCGAGGCGGCACAGGGCCAGGGCAAGCCGGCCGGGCT